TGCCTGAAAAAAAAAAACACAGCCGGTGAGAGAGCTCCCTCGGAAAGGAAAGGGCGTCGTTAAAAACTTCCCCCTGGAAAGCAAAACAAAAAAAACCTTCCCCACAAAGAGAACTCCAGGCCCGCACGGCTTCCCGGGCGGACCGCGCCCAGCATTTCCCGGGGAAATGGTGGCGCTCACGTGCAGACCCTGCAGCGAGGAGCGACGGCCGACCCCCTTCCCGGGGGCCGCACCGCCCGCCCGCCCAGCACCGGCCCCGAGGACGGCGGAGGGATACAGAGCTGCAGGCCGCCCGAGCACCGACCCCGACGGCGGCGGCGGAGGGACACAGAGCTGCGGCCAGTGCCCTCCACCCCCGGGGCGCAGACGTCCCCAACGCGACTTCGGCGGAGGGAGCCCAGCCACCCGGGAAACGGGCGTGCGGGTCCCGCCCCGAAGGCGGGGTCGGCACAGGCCTCGGAAACCACAGCCACCCGAGTGCACAGACGGGGGACAAGGGACGAAACCCAAAGCCGGGGTCAGCGCCGTCGGGGCCCACAAAGCAGCGCCCGCGCTCCGTGTTGAAAGAGCGAGGACATAAAGGTCTCGGCACGCACGGGGCAGAGCGGGGGGGGGGGGTTTCCTCCTCGCAGGGCCCCTCGCCCCCTGGGGAGAGACGAGGGGATCCACCCTGGGCGACCGCGCAGCCCCCGGGCCCTGCGTGGGAGGGGCTGCCGGTGCGCCGGGCGGGAGAAACACCCGCAGGGGTTGGAGGCGAAGCCCCTTTCGCCGCAGACAACCCAGCCTGGTCGGCTCGCCCCACGGGGCCTCCGGGGCAAAGCCAGAGGGGCTCGCGGGCGAGCTGGGCGAGGCTTGGGGACACGAGGCCGACACTCCAGGTCCCTCGGATTTCTGGAAAACAGCCATGAACACTCAGATGGTGATCTTTAAAAAAAAAACAAAACAAAAACAAAACGGTACCAGTTCCAAATAGTATACAAAACCAGGAATAAAACTGAGAAAGGGGGTGAAAGACCTACACCAGGAAAAATACGGAACATCAGTGAGAGAAGCAGAGGAGGGGACCCATGATGGGCGCTGGCGGGGAGACCCGGTCAGCTCCGTGGGGAAGGCGGGTCCCCCTCCGTCCTGCCGACAGAGGCCAATCAATCGCAAACACCCAGCAGGCCCCCTTCCCGAGAGGAGGCCCCGTGGGTCCCTGTGGAAATGCAGGGGCCCAGAGGCGCCCACACGACCCTGACCGGGGAGAAGAGTCACGCTGACCCTCTCCAAGTCACTCTGAGATTAGAGTCACGAACACAGACCGGTCTCGGTTCAAAGACACCCAAACGGGTCAAGAGTGTGGTGGAACTCGGGGCCCAGGAGTCACCCCACATCCTGCGGACGTGGCTGCTGGTCCCGTGAGCAGGGCCGGGCCGTCGGGGGAGCCACGTGCAGCACAGGCAGGAACAGTAACTTGGAATCGGCCCTCACGCTGCAGCAGCGGCCAAAACCCAACCCAAAACGGAGCGGAGGCCCGCAGATGGGAGGAGGCCCGCCCCCAGGAGAGACCCTCGGAGAGTGTGGGCCAGGCCGAGCGCCCGGACACGGCCCCCCGAGCCCAGCCCCCCAAGCCCAGCCCCCCGGGAGAGCGGACCGCGGCCCTGGAAGGCATCAAGGAGGTTTACGACCTGCTCTGTAAAAGACCCTGTCAAGGCAAGGAAAGGGGAAGCCAGGGGCCGGAGGAAAACGTCTGCCCGGCAACTCTCCCATGCAGACGTGACCCAGAAGACATAAAGAACGCTCAGAAAAGGGAAAACGAACAATAAACGTGCCTCCCCCCACCGCCCGCAAGAAAAAAAAAAGTGCAGACACTTAATAATAAGAAAACAAACCACCCGCTTTTAAAAAATGGGCAACAGATTAGAAGTGACACCTCATTAACAAGACGAATGAGCGGCCGGGGCGCCGAGAACACGAGGACCCCTCGGTCACCGGGGGAGCGCGCACAGGGGGAGCGCGCACGGCCGCCGCCGGACCCCGGCCCAGGAGAGCGGCCGCGCGCGCGCGTGCGCAGGATGGGGGGCAGGGCGGGCGGGAACGCGAGGTGGCCCCCTCGGCAGAGTCTCTCCTCTCGCCCCGTCTCTCTCCCCTCGCCCCGTCCACACACCCAACCCTCCCTCCCGGGCGCCCGCCTCGGCATTTCCCCATGAGAAAAGGAAGTGCTTGTCCTTGTAAAGACTTTCACATGGACGTAAACACGGCTTTGTTTTCGCCGTCCGGCACTGGACACCGCCCAAACGTCCATCAAACGTCCACGGTGGGCGCGTCCGCACCGCGGCGGCCGGAGGAATGCGGGCCGATGCACGCGAGGCACGGAGGCGTCTCCCAATAGTCATTCTGGGGAAAGGAGCCAAACGAGAAGTATATACGATGCTTCCATTTATGGAAAACTCTATAAAGTGCAAGCTGACCAGGTCACGGGTGCTTGGGAAGGGGGGAGGCGAGCAGGGAAGGGGGAAGGGACCGCACGCGGGGGCCTTGAGGGTACTCCCGGGCACCAGAGGCGCCTGCCCTGCCTGGGGTCAGGGCCGTGGGACCATGCGCCCCGGGCGTGCACGCTGCGTGTGCCGCACACCTCAGCAGGGCCGGCCGGAACGACGAAAAGGCAGATGACGAACTGGGAAAAGGTTCTGAGTTGAACATGACGGACAAGAGGGGAACAGAAGGGATACATTCGATGCAGTGGAAATCCACCAGAAACGTTAGCACTCTCCCGGGTTTGCCGGGGCGGCCATCGCCCAGTCCCACAGACGGCCTCTCGGACCAGAGACCCTCACGGGCCCTGTCCGGGGGCTGGAGTCCGGGAACGGCCGTCTCCTCCCAGTGTCCCCCTGACGGGCGTCCCTCTGTGCGTGCCTGCGTCCCGGTCTCCTGTTTTGATAAGAACACGGGTCCCGTACATCAGAACCCACCCTAGTGGCCTTGTCGAGCAAGGCAGAATGGAGCCAGGCTGAACCCTCTCTTTAAGGACCCCAACGCCGAGTCACGTTCCGTGGTCCTAGGCGTCAGGGCTCCGGGAATGAATGGTAGGGACACGACTCAGCCCATAACACACCCTCCCGGAGGAAGAAACGAGCAAGAGACAAAAGCAGACGAATCTCGGACTCAGAGACACAAAACAGGGCAAACGCTGGTGACCGCACCCGTATCACGGCGAGCGAGACGCTGGGTTTTGCCCTGGGTTTCCAAAGGCCCCTCACAGTGGCAGCGGCCCTCCGTCCCCGTGTGCCAGGCCCTGCGAGAAGGAGAAGCATCTCGGGGAAGCCAGGCCTGGGTGCCGGGCAGGGGCCAGGAGCCCCAGGAAGGAGCCGCAGGTCCCCGGGTCCCAGAGGCGGGCAGATCCCACAGGCCTTGGCCTGGGCGTGAATGGCAAGCGCTCCTTCAGCATGGCCAGCAGACCTGGGCGCTGGGGGTGTGGCCTGTTTGGAGCTCCCAAAGCCACTCGGGCGAGGGGTTGGGGAGGGACGAGCCTGCCACCCCAGCCTGGGCTGTCCCGCCTGTGCCCGTCTCTGCAGACAGACCCCCCAGTCACATGCGGGACCGCCTGGCCTGCATTGAGCCTTTGAATCAGAAGGGAACCACCTCACCGCACCACTGCAAGACTACCACCGGTGAAATGGGGGTTCCCGGACCCAACCCCCCCGGTTCCTGCCAGCTGGCTTACTGCCTGAGCCCCCAGCACCAGAAAACCAGGGCACCCACCATAAAGAGGGGTCACTTCTGACCAAAACGGCGAGAACCTCACTGTTTATCAGAGCTTCAAAGTCAGCTGGGCGTCCTCTGTTTCAACTGGCAGCCCTTGGCCGGGGAGGACCTGCTGGAGAAGTCAGGAGGGGCAAGCCCGGCGGCGGCAGTGGCGGTGTGACCGACTCGAGGGCAGATGGCACGGAGAAGGGGGCAGTGGGGGCGGCCGTGCGCTCCTCGGGCACTGCTGCCTCGGGGCGAGGGGATAGGGGGACACTGTGCTGAGCTCAGAGAGCCCAGGCCCGGCGGGGAGGCACCAGCTGGAGGATCAGCGGAGGCCAGGCCTGAGCGTTGAGGGGCTGGCAACGTAGCGGAGCCCCCAAACCCACTGCCCCCTTCGTCCGCCTCACACAACTCAAAACCCGATTTCCGGCAACCTCTGTGTGAGCGACACGGCACCTTCCAGGTAGACGCTGGCCCGGGAGCCGGCGCTTTGTAAGAAGGAGAGAGCCCTCGGGACCCCTGCCCCGGGCGGGCGTGAGGGGAGCCCCTCTGCAGCTCCACCCTGCTTCCCAGCCCCTTGCTGGTCCTCCAGGCCTGGCCCCGGCCCCCAGCACAGTGGCCCTTCTGACCAGTCCCCTCCACCGGGTCTCCTCCACGTGGGCCTGGCGGCCAGCAGGGGACAGCTGGGCTCCCCCCCGTCTGACCCCAGCAGGCGAGTGCAGCCCACCCTTGCCACCCAGCCCTGCCCTGCGCTCATCGGTCGTCCTCTGCAGCGCCTGGGTCCTAGGCGAGACCACTGTGCCGTTCCCATCAGCAAGCACACACAGGGGGAGGCCTGCAGTCCCCGCCCCAAAGCTGGGCCTCTCGTAGGGGCACGTGCTCGCCTCCCTGCAGGCTCCTCCACCCTCCCTGGGCCAGCCACCAGGCCTCACACCCTGCTGCCCTCTTGGGTCCCATCCCCAGCCTACAGGCCAGCCTGCTGTTTCTCCACAGCAGCTGACGGGGTCCTTTCTCTCCCAGTGGCTGGCTTGGCACTCCCTGTCAACGCTATCCCTGCCCTTCGGAGTGCATCGCAGGTGCAGAAAGGCAAGGGCCAGCCCGGGGGAGTGGGGGAACGGGGAGAGACAGCTACGGGGACCCGGGCCTGGGCTCCTGGTCGGTGGGTGGGGCTCAGGTGTGGCGGTCTCCAGGGGCAGGGCCCGCCGCGCGGGGCGGGGGCGCGCCCTCCGGACGCCAGGGGGCGCTGTGCCAGAGGCCGCGCGGGCCGCGCGGGCCGTTCCTTCTGCCCGCGAACCGGAAGCTGGCGATGGCGCGGAACGTGCTGTGAGTAGGGCGGCCCGCGCGGGGCGGGGCTTTCACGGTCACAGTCAAGGAGCCGGGGACCCAGGCCCGGGGAGGGGGGCTGGGAAGAGGGGCGCGGCCGGCCGGAGCGTGGTCCGGGTCCCGCAGCCTACGCCGCCACCCCCGCGGCCACGTGTGCAAACCCATCCGGACGCTAAGGCCGGGCGCAGGCCGGGCCCGGCCGCGGAGCCCGCCCTGCGCCCGGCAGGCCCCGCCCCCCGAGGGCCGGCCCCGCCCGCGCGGCTTTGGGGCGGGGCGGGGCCGCGCCGCGCGCCACCCGCCCCTCCCCCCGCGCTGCCCGGGCGACCACCCTGGTGTTCAGCGGGGTCAGATGGCCCCGTGAACAGAAGGCCTCGTGAATTCATGCACGAGCGAACTCGTGAATAAGTGCATGAGTGGGTTTAAGTGGAGAGCCGAGGGCCCCGTGAACAGGAGGCCTCGTGACTGCTGCTTGTGTGATTGCGTGAATAAGTGCATGAGTGGGCTTAAGCAGGGGTCCCATGGCCCCGTGAACAGGAGGCCTCGTGACTGCTGCTTGTGTGATTGCGTGAATAAGTGCATGAGTGGGCTTAAGCAGGGGTCCCATGGCCCCGTGAACAGGCGGCCTCGTGACTGCTGCTTGTGTGATTGCGTGAATAAGTGCATGAGTGGGCTTAAGCAGGGATCCCTCGGCCCCGTGAACAGATGGCCTGCTGAGTTTATGCATGTGTGAAGCATGAATAAATGAGGGAGTGAATGCATACATGCACGCGTGTATGCCCTTGACCCTGGAGAGCAGACAGTGAAGGGTGCCCCCACTCTCCCTGCCCCCCCCACCCGCTTACAGGCGTGGAAGCAGACTCCATGGCTGGGCCAGGGTGTGGATTTGGGGAGCGGGGCTGCACGGGGGGCCCCCGAAGAGGGGACGCTGCTTTCTGCCGCAGCCTGCAAGGGGCAGGGGCCTCAAGGAATGGGAGCTCCGAGCCAGGCCCTCAAGGCCGCCCCCGAGGCCGCCCTGGAGGCCAAGGACGTGCAGGCAGGAAGGGAACCAGGACAGGGGCCCAGCTTGAGTGCACGTGCTCCCTCGCTGGCCAGGGAGGCCCTGGAGGGGAGACTTGCAGTGGAGCCATGAGGCGGGGGGAGGGAGAGGGTGGGATCCCGGATGAGTCACCCTCGGGGCCACAGGGCGGGAGGGCTGGTGGCAGCCAGCCAGCCTGTTGTTTGGAGGAGAGAGGAGAGATTCAGAGCCCTGCCTGCGAGATGTTAGGTCGAGGTGCTTGCGAAACCGCGGGAGCGGTCAGGGAGGCAGGGGCCGGGTAAAACCACCCGGAGGCCAGTGGTGGGCCCCACGGGGGCGCTGGGCCTCCAGGAGGCCCAGGGAGCTGTGTTCCAGGACCCAGCAGGAGGGTAGTGAGCGGCACGGGTTGTTCCCGAGGTGGGGGGGACGGTGTCCCAGGCTGCAGGCGGGGGCCTTGGGAGGGCCTGGGGCTCAGCGTGGGGGCAAGGGCACGCTCGCCCCTGCTGGCCTCCGCCTCTCACCTGGACCTTCACGCTGGGCCTCTTTCCGGCCAAAGCTGAGCACAGCCTTCCAGCCCCAGATGGTGGGGTGCCTTGGAGAGGTGGGGGGGTCTGAGCCAGCACCCCCACGCTCCCACAATGACCCTTGGGCCCCAGCCTTTGCCCCTTGCAGCGAGCACTGCCATTGGTCACCACGGGGGGAAAAGAGCCCCCTGGGCGGGCAGGGGTCAGCCTGAGCCCCCTGCAAGGGTAAAACCAGCAGGCCCCGCACCCTTCAGACCCGCCTGCCTTCCCAGTCCCCCGCAATGTTCACGCCTGCAGGGGCCCTGCCGCGGTGGCCGCGACGGGCTGCCTCGGTCACCCGCGTGCCCCGGAGAGATGGTGTTCAGTTCACACATTCAGCTCACACATCCCGGCCCACGCCTCGCTCTGGGGGGGCCCCTGCCATCCCTGCCCAGGTCCTCTGACCCCCTGGCCCTCCTCACCCTCCCCAGACGTGGAGGCCGAGGGCCAGCGTGGGATGTGGCCCCGGTGAGCCCCTTCCTCGGTGCTGGGTGCTGCCAGTAGGCCCCTGGACACAGCCAAGTTCCACAGTGAGGCTCCCAGCACCCACCTCCCACCAAGACCTGCCCTTGGGCTCCCGGCCTGCCCACCCTGGGGGTTTCGGGGTGAGCTTGGGGTTGGTGACCTGCTAGCCTCGTGTCCCCACAGCCGTCCCACCTCAGCCGGCACCAGGGAGCCGGCGGGCGACCCCTGCCGGCAGCGGGCCCGCCCAGGTGGGGCCCGCTCCGCTCCTGGGACGGCCGCGTGCCCGTGGGACGGTCACGTGGAGTGCACGCCGTGTCCGCGCCTCGCCGCCGGCCCGTTCGGGGACTTGGGAGCACGTCCTCCGTGGCCTCCGGTCGGTTCTCGAATGGCTCACCGGCCCCTTCCCGAAGGCCAGCTGCAGGGGCCACCAGCGCACGCCGCCCCACGCTGGGCAGGGCCACGAGAGCGAGCGGCGGCGGGGGTGTGGGGCGGCGTTCCGGCCCCGGCATGGACTCCGAGCGTCTCCCCCGCAGGTACCCGCTCTGCCAGCTGGGCGGCCCCCAGCTCCGTGTGTTCCGCACCAACTTCTTCATCCAGCTGGTGCGGCCCGGCTCGGCCCAGCCCGAGGACACCGTGCAGTTCCGGATCCCCATGGAGTGAGTCCGCGGGCGCCGCCCTCCGCGGGGGCTCCGCCGCTGTGCACAGAGGCCCGTTGTCTGCTGGGGCGGCCGGGCGCCCTCCACCTGGCGAGGCCCGGTGGGGAGCCGGAGCCGGTTTCTTTCCCGCTCTTCCTGCAGGATGGAGCCGCGGTGCCCCCTGCCCCCACCCCCAAGGCTGGGCCCGGCCCCCAGAGCTGCTGTGACGCGTGGGGCCAGAGCCAGGGCCCTCCACCAGGCCTGCGCTCGCCCCAGGGGCCCGGCCCGCCCGCCACCCTCACTGCAGGGCGCCGCCCCGAGCCCCCGGAGCGACTGCTCCCATGTGGCCCGGCCTCGGCGTACCCCTGGGGGGCCGGCGGGGTAGGGGCAGGGGCAGGGGAGGCTGAGGGCCTGAGCTGCTGACCCATTCGAGGTGGGAAGGGAGCAAGACCCGACCTGACAGACAGTTGTTTTTCAGAAATGCTGGTTCGGACCGTGCAGTGGGGCGGCGGCCGCGCACCGGGCCGCCCCAGGGCCTCGGACTCGGGCCGGCCTGGGCTCCCGGCAGCCAGGGGGCACTCGCAGACCGTGGCTTCCCTCGGGAGAGTCCCTGGAGCTCGGCCGCCTGGCCCCGAGCGTGGGCGGGCGGGGGGAGGCGGGGGGGGCCGGCCTAGTCCGTCCCCCCCGTGCCGGCGCGTCCCAGGGGGAGTGCTGGGTGGGGACCGGCCGCTGCCCTTGGAGGCTGCTCCGGTGTGGCTCACGGTCCCTGTCCCCCTCCCTGCCAGGATGACCAGGGTGGACCTGCGGAACTACCTGGAGCGCATCTACGGCGTGCCTGTGGCCGCCGTGCGGACCAGGGTGCAGCACGGTGGGTGCCGGGCAGGGCTGTGCCTGTTGTGTGGGTGGGCCCCTTCCCCCCCTGGCCCCCCCCCCGGGCAGACGGCCGTGCCGCCCCATGCCACTGACCCCCGCCCCGTCCTCGTGGCCGCTCTGCGGGCCCGGTTCTCGGCACAGGGGGAAATCAAGGCACAGTGCTCGGGCGACGTCTAGGGCTGCAGTCCTGCCGGGGCAGAGCGCCGGGCCCCCGGGCCCCTCTGGGCACGGCCGACGCCCTCTCTTCCCCAGAGCCCACCGTCGGCCCTTCCTGGGGGCCCCATCGCCCGTCTACCTGGGGCCTGCAGCCGGGGGCCGGCGAGGGTGCCAGGAAGACAGCCCCCTGAGTCACCTCAGACACCGGCGGGGGCCGCGGGGGCTGCGGCTGGGCCGGGACCCGGAGGGGTACAGCCTGCGCACTGGAAGCGGCACCTCGGGGTGCGACCAGCGGGCCCTCGCAGGCGTGTCCCTCCAGGGGTCGAGCGCTCACCAGCGCGGCGTCTGTGTCCCCCGCCCCCCAGGTCCTGGCAGGAAGAGGGACCACAGGAACGTGCGGGTGAAGACCCCGGACCACAAGGTGGCCTACGTGCAGCTGGTGAGTGTGACCGCGTGCCCGGGGGCGGGGGCCGTGTTTGTGCAGCCGCCGCGGGGCCGGGGAGGCCTCGAGGGGCAGGGTCCCGGGGCCGGCTGCCTCCGTGCTAATCCACGGCGCGGCCCAGGAGGGGCTGGGGTTCAAAGCACAGCTAAGCCAGTGGGAGGAGATGGGCTGGGGCACTGTGGAACTTCTCGGGGGCCACCCCTGTCGAGCCTTTGAACTCGGAACGTGCCGTGGGCAGGGCAGGCCCACCCAGGCCCGGGGATCTGGGTCCTGACAGAAACCAGATCTCGCTGAGCCTCAGGGGCCGCCTGCTCGGGAGGGCCGGCCCCGGACGGGTCCTAGGCGGGGAGGCGGCCCTGCCTCGGGGTGCTCGCCCCTCTGCGAGGGCTGTGGCACCGCAGGCACCGCCTGCCCCCGTGGCTCCTGCCGGCTGGGGGCTCCAGGCGCGGGCTCCAGCCACAGGAGCCTGCACTGAGCAGGCCCAGGGCTGCTCACCCCTCCCGCTCTCCCAGTGGGGCTGCGGGGCCCACACTGGTGCGCTCCCTCCTGCACCCCGCACCCCGGCAGGGTCTCCTCCCCAGTGTGGGGGGGGCCCTCCCGGGGTCAGTGCTGCTCCCGTTTGAAACCTGGGGGGCTGCCGTGAACTGCCCTGCTCCCGTTTGAAACCTGGGGGGCTGCCGTGAACTGCCCTGCTCCCGTTTCAAACCTGGGGGGCTGCCGTGAACTGCCCTGCTCCCGTTTCAAACCTGGGGGGCTGCCGTGAATTCCCCTGCTGCCGTTTCAAACCTGGGGGTTAGGGACCTGGGGGGCTCCTGCGCGGGCAGGCCCCCGAGGAGCCGGCGCGGGCGGCCACTAGATGGCAGTAGCGCTGTGGCGAACCCTGCGCCTGCAGCCCCAATCGGGGCCTCAGGAGCAGCTTGCCAGGGGCCGGGGTGGAATGGCGGCTTCCCCGGGAAACAGCCACAGCTGCCGTCCCGAATGGGGCCCGAGGTTGTCCGGCCCAGCGTGTGCTGCGCCCCGAGTCCGCCTGCGGGGGCGGCCCGAGTGTCCCCCTCCGCCACGAGGCCCCACACGGCAGAGCTGTGGTTAGAAGTGGCTTTTGAGTTGTCCGAGCCTCGCTCCCGCTCCCCCTGACCTCCGCCCCCCAACTCAGGGAAACCGGACCGAGAGGCACGCAGACCCGGGGTCTGCAGCTGCAGGGGGCCTGGCCACGAGGCGCAGGCCGCCGGCCGGGGCACAGCCCTGCTGCTCCGGGGTCACCTTCGTGACACCCCCTCCCCCAGGCTCCTGCAGACCTGTGCCAGCCCTGCACGCAGCCAGGAGGCTGGGCCTGCACCCCCGGAAGGGGGTCCCCCCTCTGTGGCCCGTCCTCTGCCGGCCTGTCCCGTGGGGCCCCCCGGGGGCTTTTGAAAACCGCTGCTTGTGAAGCCACACACACAGAGGGTCAGTGGGAAAGGCAAGTTCAGTCACCAGGTTTACTTGGAGATGGCCGCCGAGGAAAAGCTGGCCCCAGGGGTGGGGGGCGGGAGACCCGCATTTTTCCCTCCTCAGACAACCGGATGAGCGTCTCCTCGGGCCCCCACCCAGTCCGGCCGGCGCCGGGCCCGCATGGCCCGCAGCCGCCCCGCGGCAGGGGCCGGCAGTGACACAGCGCGCAGGAATGAAGGATGCCCCGGGGCGCAGGAGAGAGTCCCAGCAGACCACCGCCCGGGCCCCGGGCTCCGGCAGGGCCGGTTTCTCCGTTTTTATGGCATTTTTCTGCTTTTTTGTACTTTTCCGCTATCAGATTGCTCTTGGAGAGTCTTGTTTTTGGAAGCACAAGGTGAATTCTCCGGAAAGGGGCCGCGGGGCGCCGTCCGCAGCTGTCCCTGCCGGTAGAAACAGGACTCACCCCCCCTCCCTCCGCGTGCCTCCCCGAGCCGCTGCAAACGGCCATCTTCGTGTTTACGTTCAAAATGTCACCCGGGCTCCCCCCACCTCAGAAAACCAGCAGAATCACCTCCATATATTAAACACAAACCCCCCGTTCCGGGCAGCCAGCCCTGCACGTAAACTGTTGCCCTTTGGTATTTTAAAAGAAAAAAAAGGGTCTGAAATGTGTAAGATAATCCTCCCGCGGGCTGGCTACCGAGCGCGCCGCGGCTGCTTCTCATCACCGCAGGCCCGCGCCACGTGACCCGCGAGCACAGGCCCCCGCGTGCTCGGGGGGCGCCTGCCCGCGTCCACGTTTCTGCCCAGAGTGGGGGTCCGCGGGGACCCAGCCCAGCCTGCTGGCTTCTCGGGCCGGAGCGCCCCAGACCCCGTGCCGCCCCCACCGCCCCTGCCTGCCGACCCTGTCGACCTCCTCTCCCCGCCCCACTGCGCCTGGGAGCGGGGGTCTTCCCTCCCCCGCCCCGGGGGCCCGCTGGGCCCGCGGTGAGACCGGAGCTTGGCCCCGGTGGGGAGGCTCCGTCCAGGTGGCGAGGCGCCCCCGGCCCCCACCCTCCCTCCCGCGGGCGGCCGGAGCCAGCCGTGCTGGAGCGCTGGCCTTCCCCCCGCAGGCCCACGGGCAGACCTTCACGTTCCCCGACCTCTTCCCCGAGAGGAAGCCGGGCGCCGGCGGCGAGGGCGGCCCCGCGGAGGACAGCGCCCAGGAGGAGCTGCTGGAGGAGCAGCGGGAGAGGCAGCGCGGTGACCCCCGGCGCGGGGGCGTCCCTGACTGGTTTGGCCTGTGACGGGCCGACGCCCCAATAAAAGTGCCCCTTGTGACCGAGAACCTGCGGCTCCGTCCCTCTGTCCCCGCGGCCGCACTGAGGAGGGGGCACCGGTGTCTCAGCCCCACGTGGGCACGCCGGGAGGCCGGCTCCAGGGGTGGGGGGTGCGGGTTGGCTGGAGCCACACCGGCCCCGACCCCTCGGGGCTGAGGCTCCGGTTCTGCGTGACCAGGGGGTGCTGGGTGGGCTGGGGCCTCGGGCGGCGGGGGCCCGAGGGAGGTGCTGTTTGGGAACTGGGGAGGCAGCCCTAGCGTGGACCCCCGGCCCGCGGCCAGTGGGGTGTGACGGGGGCCGCGGCGTCCAGGCGGCCAGTGCCCTGCGTCTCAGGTTCCACGGGCCCGTCCACAGCCCTGCTCGTCTGAGCTGTGTGCCCTGAGAGCCCCCCCCACCGGCCGGCCGCCTGGCTGCTCGCTCCCCAGACAGTGGAGGAGGAGGAGGTGTCATGGGGGGTGGCGAGGATCCGGACGCTGGGCTGGAGGGCCGGGCAGCGGGCAGGAGGGAGTCCTTGGGGGCCCGGACCCTGCTCCTCCCCGGAGGCTGCAAGGGGAGATAGGGGCGGGGGGGCTGGCCGGGCCTCCCCCTCTGTCCGGGGACACCTGGACAGGACGCTGGCGCCAGGCACCCCTCCGCCTGCGGGGCGGCGGGGGGTGGGCGGGGGGCGGGCAGGGCCCACCCCGCTCTCGAGTGTTGATTTAAAGCGAGGGGACAGCCCGGAAGCAGGCCGGAGGCCGTGGCCACGGTGTTTTCCTTGGAGAAACAGCCCGCGGGGCCCCGCGGCCCTGAGGACCCCGACTCAAGGCCGGGGGCGGGAACCTCACCCCTTTCACCGGCCGCCCTTCCCGCCCCGCTGCCCCCACACGGCTCCGCCCACAGGCAGCCTTGGCTCTGCCGTGCAGCCCGTGCTGTACCCAGGGCCCCCAAGGCCTGGGCCCCCGCGGCCCAGCGCGGAGGACACCCCAGCCCCAGAGCCCTCCGCCTCCCCCGCGACCCAGGGCCGGCAGAGCCCCTGCGTGAATGTTAGGGTCCGGCAGGGCGGTGAGGGGCAGTTCGGGGGTGGGGGGTGGCGTGCCAGGACCCAGGAGGTGGGCCTTCGGCGGGGGGGGGGGCACTCCCCCCATCCCCAGGCACAGCGCTTCGAGAGGGGGCTGGCCAGTCGCCCTGTGCCCCCCCAGGCTCCCGGCAGGTGCCTGCCTCTGTGGAGTGTCCTTCCCAGGGCTGGAGCCGGAGAGGGGCCCTAAGCCGACGGGCCCCGCGGCTCCCCGCACCCTGCGTGCGCTTCCTGCCGGGAGCTGGGGGCCGGCCCGGCCGAGGGGCGGAGGGGAGTCCAGAGCTCACCCCTTGCCCCCCACTGCGGGGGTCTGTTCACTCCGCAGGAGTGTTGAGGCCCCGGGCCAGCGGGCGGGAGGGCAGAGGCCTGCTGCGGAAGGGCCGCGGGGGCCGGGCCGGCCGCCTGTCCACTCTGGGGCCAGAGCCCACGGGCCTCACCCCTCGGGCCCGAGGCTGCGGCCCACACAGACGCACCCCAGGCCCCCCGGCAGCTCCAGGTGAGGTGAGGCCCGGCTGCCTCCGCCTGCCGCCCCGTCTCCAGAGGAGTCCCCACAGCAACTCGCCGCAGGGCTGCACCCCCCGCCAGCCGGGCCCGGCCCCCCCGACCGTGAGGTGGTCCGAACCCTTCTGGCCCCCCTGCCCCCCCCGCTCCTGCCTCAGGTCCTGAGGCTGCAGAAGCTGAAGAAACGAGGCCCCGTGAGGGCAGCTCTGGGGTGACCATGACCTTGGGCTCGGTCTCCCACCTCCGTGCCTTCCCGTGGGTCAGATCGCAGGGACCTCGGGGAGCCCGGCGGCCCGTCCCTGGGAGCCGGAGGCAGGGGTCAGACCGGGCGGGCGGGGGTCCGGGGGGCTGCCAGGGAGGTGCTGGGTGGTGCCGGCCCCCTGCCACCAGCACCGTGACCGTCCCGCCTGAGGCCGGGCCCCTGGCATGCGGCCGCAGTGGCGGAGGGGACCCTCCACCGTCCCAGGGCAGGACGCTGGCGTGAGCGGCCTGGTCCCCCTCAGCGGCTTGGCTGAGCAGAGCTCACACCCTGGGTCCCCCATAGACCTCGCCGGTTGGCCACCAGGACGGTTCTGGAACAGCGCTCTGCCACCCGGGACCCGCCTCGGCCTGTGGGTGCGGTGTCGGGGTCGCGCAGACCCAGGTGACGGGCATGCACGCAGCTGCCCCGCGGCCTCCGGCCCCTGTCGCCCGGCCCAGCCCCCTGCAGGGCCGCCCGCGTCTCGGGGAGCGGAGTCCCTGCAGCGTGCGCCCGGCCGCGACCCTGCAGCCCACGCCACCCACCCCCCGGACTCCGTCCGAGGCAGGTGGCGGGCCCTGCCCCTCTGCTGTGCGTGGGGGCACCCCCATGGCGGGGCCGCGCCCCCACTCCCAGCAGCCCAGCGCTCAGCGCCCCCGGCCCCAGGGGCGCCTCGGCTGCCTGGGCGATGGGCGCGGGCCGGCCTCCCTCCTGCCCAGGAACCTCTCTCCAGGTCTGCACCCGGCTCAGCCAGGCGAGCTGCACCCCACAGGGCTCAGCTCGGACACCCGGAGACGCCCGTGGGGAGACCAGGGCCGCCGGCCTTGGGAGCAGCTGGCCCGGGACCGCCCCCACACGGGACCCCGAGGGCGACCCGTGCGGCGTCTGTGCCCACTCCTCCCCACTGAGATCATCCCCGACACCGGTCCCCCCAAATCACTTCATTATTTCTTCGTAAATAGGGCTTTTCCTAGTCAAAATAATCAGCGTTTTTCTGCCGCTCCCACATCTGGCTTTGATCGGGCCCGGCCTCACGGGGCGGATGCTGGAGCCCTGACGTCGTGAGGAGGGGGGAGGGGAGCCCGCCTCCCTCCCCACGCGGGGCCCGGCCCCGGGGGCCGGGGGCGCCCTCCTGGCACACAGCTGCCTGCTGCCCACCCGGCTCCGAGGGCCCCGGCGCGGCCGCCTCAGGTGGGGCCCAGGGGATGCCCCTTCCATGGGGGTCCCGCGGGTCCCCACGGCCGACCGCCGCTCCTGGTCCCTCCAGGTCCCTCCGTCCGTCCCTCCCTCCCTCCCCCCGGCGGAGCTGGGTCGCCCCTGCCCTGCTGCACGGAGCCACACGCCGAAGGTCCCAGGTCGCCGGCACCTCCGCTCTGGGGGGCTGCGGGAGAGAGGGCTGGTGGCAGGTTCCCACGGGAACCCTGTCTGCCCTTCCTCCCCGTGTGGGTGCCGCTCTGGGGCTTCCTGGGAGTCTCCCCGAGGCAGCCCCACTGTGGGGTGCCCTGCGGGCTGACCTGTGGGTGGAGCTCGGCCCCTCCTCTCCGACCCACTCCCCGCGTCCTGACGCCGGGGCCTGCGCTGGCAGTGGAGGGGCGTCACGGGGCGTGTCACTGATCTGGGTGACGCTAGAATGTCCTCAGAGTATATGGGTGGTGTCCGTGGGACGGACCCCCCACAGGCACATCCCCACTGCCCCGTCGCCCACGTGTGGCCGTGGAGTCAGGGACCCTGGGCCGCCCGCCACGCCGTCCCTCCGCCAGCCCCGTGGCGTTCTGCATGGTGCTGGGGGCACCTGGAGGCCCGCCCCTGAGCTGGCTACAGCCCCCAGCGGCTGCCGTGGCCCCGGGGACTGACCGGTGGCAGACCCGGGCCGCCGGCCTGGGCAGAGGCCGTGGGGAAAGCTCGAGGAGACTCCACAAAGTGTAGACGGCCACCGAGGGGGTCTGGACCGCAAAGGCTTCTGGGGGCCGCTTCCGGGGTGGGGGTGGGGGGCAGGCGCCGGCAGAGGACCCCCCAGCAGCCCTCACCTAGCAGCTGCGGGAGGCCCCCCGCCCCCACCAGCGGGGGGAGGGGCCTCCCAGGAGCCTCTGCGGCGGGCTCAGGGCGGGGTGAGGCGCCCCTTAAACAGAACAAGGTGCCGGCCCCTCGTGCCGGCGCTTTACGAAGTGTTTGGAATTCCGACGGCCCGAGCAGCTGGGTGTTCCTTGCCAGGTTCTCCCCGGGACTCCACTCACCGGCGGCCAGGGCCCTAAATAATTCTTATAAAGGCCACGTCAGCCCCAAACTGTGTGATATCTGATTTGTAGCAGCAATAAAACCCCGCGCCGGCTGCCAGAGTGGGGGCGGCGGGGGGCCGGCACGCATGTGTGTGCGCACACGTGTGCATGCGTGTGAGGGAGGGAGCCGGGCTGCGCCCCGAAGCTGCCCCCGCCACCCCGCACCCCACTCCGTGCCGCGCTCGCTCAGGCTGCGGCTGTGGGGGGGCTCAGGCCTCCTGTGGCCCTGCGGGCTGGGGACCAGCGGCTGCTGCCCAGCAGGACGGCCCAGCGGCGGTGCTTGGAGAAGGCCAGGGTGCCCAGGGGAGGGGTACCTGCTCCCCGTCCCCGGCAGCCCCAGCCGCCCTCAGAGAGCCGGCTGCCCAAGCCGAGGGCCAGGGCTGGGGCAGGCCCACGGGCCCCCACGGCCGGCTGCAGCCCGTGTGTCTCCAAGGCAGCCCCCGGTGACAAAACGGTGTTTCTGTTCCGCAACATGAGGCCTGGGAGCAGCCCGACCTGTCCACCTCCCGCCCGGAACCTGGCAGGGAGTGTCCCCTTGCGCCCTGGCGGGAAGCAGGGCTCACGGCACCCAGCTTGGGGCTGCGGCTGCTGGGGGGCGTCCGGGTGTTCCCCCCTGCGTGGGCTGGGGGCCCCGGTGGGGGAACGGACCCGGCCCCTCGGAGGGGCGGGTCGTCACAGGCGGGATCCAAGGCCCAGAACCCTGCATCGGGGAGGCACGGGGGCGTGGGTGGGCCCTGCGGCCCCCCAAGGTCGCCCTGAGGTTTCTGCCGCCGGGGCACTGGCCGCCAGTGGGGCCCGCGCGAGGGCCGAGGGTGACATGCAAGGCCAGGCGAGAGCCGGGGGCTCCGGCAGGCGGCCTTGCCGCCGGGAGCCACTGGCGGCTGCAGCCTTGACTGTGTTTTTCCGAAACGTGGGGGCCGTAGTGCGGGTCGGGGAGGA